CCCCGCGGCGCACGCGGAGGAGGCCTTGGCGGCGGCGGGCGCGGAAGGAGGCGGGGAGCGCGGAGCCTGAGGTGAGGCGGCGGCGGCGCAGCGGAGGAGGCGGCGTGCGGCCTGGAGGAGGAGGAGGATGGAGGAGCCGCCGAGGGAGGGCGAGGCCGAGGTCGCGGAGCGCTGGTTCTCCAAGTGGGAGCGCCAGTGCTTGGCCGAGGCCGAGCAAGGCGAGTCGCTGTCCCCAGAGCAGCAAGCGGAGGCGGCTGCCGACGCGGCGGGGCTCAAGAGCGAACGGCAGCGGCTGTGGCACCTTTTCCAGATCGCAGCCACCTCCGTGGCCCAGCTCTACCAGGATTCTGGGGGCCAGCAGCAGGGACTGTCCGTGTGGGACCCCTTCCAGAGCGCGGCGGTGGCCGTGACCGGCCTGTACAAGGAGAGCGGGGACGCCCACCGGCGAAGTTTTGACCGGGGCGTCCAGATTGGCTGCCAGCGTCGCTTAAGAGACGTGCTGGAGTGGGCAAAAAAGGGCCGCAGCACCATTCGCCGCGAAGACCTCATCAGCTTTCTCTGTGGCAAGGCGCCCCCAGCGCCTCCCCAGCCTCGCGCCCCCAGGACCCCCCCAAAGCCACCTGCGGGGAGTCCTAGCCAGGCTTCCGCCGCAGAGTCCAGCTCCGCCGTGGACGTCGACCTGCAGCTCTTTCGCGAGGCCGCCGCGCCACCGCATGGCCTAGATGGCGCCATGGCAAACGTTGGCGTGCGACCCGGGCCGCCCAGCTCCCCGGCCCAGGATGGCGGGATGGCCTGCACTGGGCGCCGGAAGAGTAGCTTCCTCGAGGAGGACCTGAACCTCTTTGGCTCGGAAGAGCTGGGTCTTCGCCTGGACACTGGCGGCGTCCGAAAGCGCACCTCGGCCCAGTTTGGCGACAGCATCACAAACTCCCCATCACACAAGCGCAACCGAATGGTCTAAACCGCTGCATTGGTGCCAACTGCCACTTTGCTTGAGAGCTAAAGGACTGCTAAAGGACCGCTAAGGGACCGTCAACGTGCTGGTTGAACGGATACTGAACAGTTTTTCTTCTTTAAGTTAAAAGTTTCTATCAAGTTTACCATAAACTTTAACGTATTCCGGAAGAGGCCTCGTATGACTGTTTCAAAAAAAAATACATATATATATATAAACTTATGTTGTAAGGTTAAAAAAAAAATCCTAAATCTGACACTTACTCATTCCATGACTTTAATCAGCCAACTACAAAAAAAATACGATATCATGTTATGGAAATAATAGCACCAAGTATGAAATACCTGCAACTTATCACCTAATAACTGTTGGCCTAACCTGAAAAGTCAACCTTATAAAATGAATTAATGTAATAGAGTTAAGGGACTCATAACTGACAATTTGGTAAATACATTTGATTAGACACGTAAGTTCTATTGCCTCTCAGCAATACAGCACCTGAAGTACAGGCTGCTAGTTTGTTTTGTCTGGGGAGGGGGGGTGTCTATTACTCAAAACCAAAATACTGTAAAACTCCAAAGATCCCCAATCATATTACATTCTGTAAATTTCAGTGATACAGTTACAGGGTCAACAAACAGTACTGATACAAAGGCAAACAGAAGCTCCGAAATGACACCCAGGATTTGCTGACAGATTTATTTACATCAGTGAGCACTGCTCTGGATCATTCCCAAAATATCAGGCCCATCTCTGGTGTTCTAGGGCTTTTATATGATGCACAAGTGGGAGGTACAAAGGAAGCACAAAGCTGAGACAGGACAGCCTGGCAGTTCTGATTAGCTAGCAAGATGAGGTCATTGGCTACAAGGGTAGATTAATGATCATCTGTTCATGAAGCTTGGTACAATGGTACAACCAAGCATCCTAAATGTTTGGTTATGTTCTCATGGTTCCAGGGGGTCAAGCAAGGAATTACAAAGCCATGAAGCAGAAAGAGAGCTGGCCGGTTTAAAAAGAATAAAGTTTTAAAAAGAAAAAATTCTCTTCTACAGGTTTTAGATTTTCCAAACAAAACAAAACACAGTCTAGGGGCTGGGGAGATGGCTCAGTGGAATAAGCGCTTCCCTGGCAAGCGCAAGGACCTGAGTTCAATCCCCGGTTCCGCAAAAAATAAAAAAAATAAAACACAGTCTAGGGAGGACACACAACCAATTCTAAGCTATTCTTTTTCATCCGTACCCAATGAAGGATCATACTGTAGAAGTGAATTTACTAAATTATCGAGGTATAACATGTAGTCGTTTTTGAATCTCTTTTCTAAACTGAAACTGCATTAATGCGACCTGTTGCTGGGTAAGGGCCTTATCACATGTCTGGTAGGTTAATCTATAGCATAAGCTGATCTGTCCAGTCCTTGGGTGCTGAAAACGACCAAGTAACTGTATGGATGTAATAGTTTCCTGGGACACTGCTCGGGCCACAGTGTGAAACTCTAGTTCATCAAATCCTTTCTGTTCATCTAACCAAAAACTAATATCATGCACATAGCATGGAGGATACAGGGAATAGCTTTTAAAGGGTGCTGTTTTCTCAGGGACAAAATTTTTCAGGAAACGGTTATCAAAGGTCCACAACATTCTCCAGTCATAGATACTCCAGACAAGCATAGTTAATAAGTCCAAGTTTATAGATACAACCACAAAACATTGGTCCTTATGTGTAATGCTTGTAGCAGATGTGATGACAGCCCCAATAATCAGATCTTTCACACAATGTGAGCCAAAATTAGAGGACTTCACATGAATCATATAATCTTTTCTATTTGGTTGAAGGACAAACTCCACTGAACTGCTTAGCTTAGCATCCTCTGGCAGTGTCTGGGTGAGAAGAGTCTCCAGAGTAGCTTTTAGGTGATCCAGCAATGATACAAGGCAGTCATGCTTCAGGTTCTGATTGACCCCAAAGATAACTAAAGTCTCATGAAATGCTGGCATTGTGAATGGCAAAATGTGGCACTTTCGAAAAACGGGTCCACTGAGGATGTGCAAAGAACCTGGGAGGAAGTCTGGTGCTTGAATGACAGCCTGAACATGAACTAGAAGAGAAGATCTAAGACAGACCTTGACTTGTCCATAGACTCCTTCAGGAGTTTCTTCGTTATCATCTCCTCTGGGCTTCCTAGCAAGGATAAGTTCTGAAAATGACACCAGAGAGCCCTCCACTTCTTGTGTTGTTTCACCAGTCAAAGACATGGAATTTAAGTTATCTTCATAGAGACTGACCCAGAAGGCAGACAGAATGTCATAATTCCAGGAAGGGCAAACATTGGTGCTCTCCTGTGGCAGTAGGGTAGAAGAACACTTCAGCACTTTCAGAGGGAAAGCTGAGCCCAATTCAGCAATGAGTTTTTCATTTATGGTTTTGATAGGATGACATGAAGATGCTTCCAGAAAACCCCTGTGTAAACACACAATTTTTATCACTTAAAGTAAGTTTAATATAGCAAGAGTTAAAACATAAATGGCTATATAAAAAAAGAATTGTCTTTATATTGATCATACTAGCAACAAAAATCATTGATCATAAGGAGAGACATAAGATACTTTAATTTCATTTTCTCTTCTTTATTTTTTTCAGAGTATGCTAGGTAGAGTTAACATTTTTCCAGAACTTTGGCAGCCGCCACTCTTACAATACAGGACTGAACAGTATTCATACCACCAACATAATTAATAATTGATGTATCATCTGTTCAAAGTATACATGCCCATCAAAACATTCAGGATACAACTGGAGGTGTAACTAATTTCCAGCAAAGTAAGAGGTTACCTGTTCAGCTTTCCTGCAAGGGCTTCTGGTTCTACAAAGGAAAAACACTTGTCTCTCAGCTTGATTCTGAAGATTCTGGGTTGAGAACCGTCAAAGGGTAAGCTCTGGGTGAAGATATGGTTCAAAGCACCTTCTACATGAAAGGATTTATCTTGACTCCTGGCCAAAAAGACAATAGTACAGTATACAGTTTTCATTACTAAGGAAAGCAAGTGTTTCTGGAAACTTAAATTAGGAACTCATCAGGAAAAAAGCCTATCTACCATATTGTTTCTCATTAGTAAGAGAGATGAAAAAGGAGAAGGTTGAGGCCTATGTTACTACTTACCTATATCCAGTGCACTTGTATCCTGGCACAGCTTCACAGCTGAAGGGAAGGACGTCACTTAAAATGAGACCTCCCTGAGCTGCCATGGCAACCACTTGCCAACTGTTGTGCCATTCTCTCTGGGGTTTGTCAGCAGGAGTACCACCTTGTCCTCTACACAGTGCCACATGAACTTCTCCTTCCTCCGCAAGAACATCCGCACAGCTAATAGGATAAAAAAAAAAAAAAATAGCAGGGATTTATCAGAAACAAGTAGAAATTACCACAGGAGATACCAATACACACATAGTTTAGCTGTGAAATAATTAAAAATCCAATCATAGTTGCAAACATTAAACCTCAAGTATGCCAAAATATGCAAATATACAGTTTAGGTATGTGCCCCACAATAATTCTTAGTATTTGCTTTAATGCAAATGCTTTACTACTTTTTTTTTTTTGGAAACATATTTAACAATACATTGCTCTTCAGGGAAATGGTTACAGAGGCCTTTGGAAACTAAGAACACAACCATGCAGCACAGATCTGAACTAGTTTTTTACCACAACTACCCTGTACACTATAACGTTCTTCTCTCCAAAATGGCCCTCATCTCATATGAAAATAGTTGCCACAGAGAAGCCAAATATCTAGCTTTGTGGCCAAAAGGAAAAGCAGCAATTTGTTGGTAAACTGGTAAGAGCAGAGACTCCCGACCCCTTCACTGTGGTGTTTTGGCTTTCTTACTCTTGTTCTTGTCTCTTCTTCCGCCCGTCCATGTGAGCTCTCAGCAGGCTTGAATAGGTCATCTGGAACTTACTCACTTCTTTAGAGCCACCCCCAGTGTGACCTTCTTTTTCCCACCCAAAGCTCTCAACAGACATTTGCTATCTGCAGGCTCAAGAGCCCTTCTTTGGGATGGATCTAGTTCAACCATATTTTTTAAAGGTGATGAACATGTTGCCCAACGTCTGGCACTTCTGGAGAGCCTGGTCAGCTCGGTCAGGAGCTGCTCACTCTCCAGCAGCACCCTCTTGATGAAACAGGACCCAATTCTTCAGCCCTGCTTTACTACTTCAATGTTGTTTATATATCATAGAAATATCAATCTGCAAACTTCCTATACATAAGTCCCCACTTAGTGTCTCATTTTGTAATTCAGACTGATCTTGAACCCACTCGTAGCCCAAGCTGGCCTCAAATTCATGGCAATCCTCCTGCATCAGCCTCCCAAGTGCTGGGACTGCAGGCATGTCACCATGCCCAGACTCATTTAAAAAAAAAAAAAAAAAAAAAAAAAAAAAATGAATTTTATTGGTACACTTTTGATATACATAATGATCAAACTGTTTTGTAAACGGTTGCTTGACAACTATGATCTAAGGGGCTGGGGAGATGGCTCAGTAGAATAAGTGCTTCCCTGGCAAGCACAAGGTTCAGAGTTCAATCCCCGGTTCTGCCCCCCCCCAAAAAAATATGATCTAATAGAGACCTCCAGAAATATCACATATTTGGAATAGTAGTTTAAAGCACTATTTTAAATTCAAAATAATTGTATGATGCAGTTATCATTTATAGATTCCCAGTTTACAGATAAGAAAACAGAACCACAGGATTAAATAAGCTTGCTTAAGATCTGGACTGTGGATACAGCTCAGTGGCTTAGTGACTGCCTGGCAAGTGCAAGGTTATGAGCTCAATTCCTGTTACAATAATAATAATAATAATAATAATGATAATAATCAATGAACCAGAATTTGAATCCAACCAATTTGGTACCTAAGTTTTCTTAACATTTGGACTATACTGGCTCTCATTATTTTGTTTTGTTTTGTTTTGTTTTTTAATGTATTTTGTACAGGGTCTCACTATGCAGCTCGGTCTCGAAGGATCTCCCTGTTTTCAGCCTCTCCAGCAGTGAGATTACAGGCCTGCACCACCACGCCAGGACTCAGTGGGCCCGGAGGTGGGGCCAGCACTGCCTGAGGTGCCAGGGATCGAACCCCAGTCCCTACACTTGCCTAAGCAGGCGCTTAGTCCGCTGAGCTATCTCACTAGCCCTATTCTGCACTATTAAAAGTAAATAATCCTCCTTTTATACTGTCAAGAACACACTTTGTAATTTTATTCGATATTTATGACTATAAATCAACCTTTCCGATAAGATTGTTGGTCCCTTTGAGGCACTGTATTCTTTCTAGACATTTTGTAATAGTAATTTCGGGCTCTCTTTTCCTCACCTCTGGAAAAACTTGGCAAGCAGTTCCCTGTTCTTAGCTACACCAGCTTTGCGTCCACAGTGAGGAAAATTAAAATAAATTCGATCAAATTTCCGGTTGTGTGGTTCAAAGGCATTTGCCAGTTGGGTGCAGTCCACACCGAAACGTACCTCGGCCCCTGCCAAAGACAGTTTAGAAGGGTGACACACGGCTAGAAAGATGTCTCAAGATCGGGACACAAAGCACCCTCTCGACTTCAACTGTACAGCCAATTTAGCACAACTACGCCCGGAGACAACGCAAAGCAGCCCAAATCCCATTCGCCACGCCCCACCCCTTCCTTATTGGACAGTCCGGCAGCTGGGCGGGGCTTCCGGAAACGGGCCGACCCCACTACCTCGCTTGCGGAGGCGCTGCAGGTTCTCGCGGGCCACTGGATCACGGGCCAAGTCGGCGGGGTGTTGGAGACAGGTGGCAGTTATACTAGATCTCGGATCCGTGGTCTCGCTCAGAGCAGCAGCAAAGGAGAAATTCCCCTCCCCGACCAATAGGAGCCGTCGAGGGGCCATGGCCCGCCTTGACACCTAGCTCGCTTGTTCCTTGGCGCTGGTTTCTTACGTCACTTCCTTAGCAAGTCTCAGCCCGCCTCCTCTTCACCCGTCAATGGTTGATGACGTTTACAGGCCCCGGATTTTTCTTGGCAAACCTATGCAACGGTTTTCACTAAGCATGAGTGCGAAAACGAGATACCCAATGCCCTTGTCGTCTCACCCGTCCCACCCTTGGAAAGATCAAAATGTCGTCCAGGGATGGCACTGAGAGACGACGTCACGCCAACATGAGGTCACAAGCAGTCGCTAGCGTAGACGGGGTGAGGCGAGCCCCGGGACAAAGGAGCGGAGCGGAGCGGAGCTGAAGACAAAAAGAGACTGGGTTATGTCCCGCATGTTCCTGCTGCTTAGGATTTTTAAAACTGCTCTCATCTAGTCTGAAATGGCTGCCTCTCAGTGTCTCGGCTGCTCAGAATTTTTCCAGGTGCCTCTATTTTCTACCTTCTACTCATTCGAGAAGTTTCATCAAATGCTTACTGCGGTGCCTCTGTGAGGACGATTTGATAGGTGGATTACAAGATGTAGCCTGTCCACAGTCTGGTGAAGAATGCACAGCAAAGGAGGCAACGCTGATGTAGTGGGGGCATACACTATAAGTGGAGTAAGGCAAGGTGTTATCAAAGTGCATAGACCGGGAACCTTAACCGAGGTTTGGGGCAGAAATGTAAAGATTTCCTGAAGCGACGCAGGGTTGAAAGCTAAGGGAGAGAAGGCTCAACGAATCCTTACCAGGTTCAAAAGGAATAAAGAGCCGGAAAGAACAATGCATCCAAGAGCGTGATGAAAGAATGGTGTAGTTTCCAAGTCTGTAATCCCAGCATTCTAGGAGGTTGAGGCAGGAGGATTGCAAGTTCAAGCCCACTTTGGGCATCTTAGCAAGATCATGTCTCAAAATAAAAAATTAAAACTGGGTTGGGATGTGCAAGGGTCCTGGGTTCAACCCCCAGTACCAAACAAAAACAGTTTAGCAGAAGGTTGTGTTTAGCAAAAACACAGTTGGGAGGAGAGTCCACAATTGAGTTAAATATAGGTCAAATCATATGGAGATAGCAAGCTATTTTTTTACAGTCTAAACCATATTCTGGAAACAGCCACTGAAAGGTTTTAAATAAGATGACACAACTGGACTTTCATTTTTTAAAATTCTCCTTCGCAGAAAGGATTGGAGAGGAACAGGGTTAATAACAAGGAAAATAGATAGGCAACTACAGTAATGGAGACAAGAATTTACAGTGATCTGAACTTGAACTCGGCATTGAAGGTGGAGCATAGTATTTTAAAAAAAAATCAAGACTTAAGCAATTGGATGAATTCTGAAAGATAAGTCCCAGGCTTCTAACTTGGACGGCTCAATGGATGGTGATATCTGTCGTTCCAGCCCTAAGGACAGTATCACCCAGGTCTCCAACATGAGCAGTAAGCTCACTGGAATTTGTAAGACCAGCTACTCTAGTCGTCGTGCTTTTCGGTGACATCAGTGAATGCACCTGTCTTCACAAAGGCATATGACATGGGGGCAGGTACCTCAGATGCCATCTTTTAGTGCTGCATTGCAGGCTCTGCCTCTGCCGGTAAAAGGGCAGCTGGGTTGTGGCTCCCAGATCATGGCCACTTGGCCTCGGTGACCTGAGTGATCTACATACTTTTCTTTGCTGGGAAGACTATGTTTGGTGACATCTTCAGTAAACATGGGACAACCCTTTACGGATTTCTTTCAGTTTATTATGAGCATTCCAGACACGTCAGCCTCATCGTCAAGTTGCAGGTCTTCAGGGAAGGTATCACCTTGCTCCTAAGCCAGAAGATTAGACTTATTTTGGACCCACCCACCACCATTTTTTTTTTTTTAAAAACCTTAGGTTTTTGATTCCTTACCCAAAAACTGAAATTCATATATTGATCATCTGGTATATGCAAAGCAGTATAAATTGGGAAGGTAGAAGGACAGGGTGCAATAATAAAACAGATTGTCCTCAAGGAATTTTCAATTCAGTAGAAGAGATATGATATATATGATGAAATCAAATAGACAGTAGAAAGATATAAATATGATAAAATGTGAAGCTAAAGTCCTGTACAAGATGAAAGAGGAGGTATTATTTGAGCTGGGACTACAAGGAAGGAAATTATCCCTCACTGATTATTTATAGTATTATTTAATGTACTTCTCATTTTCTTTGTAAAAATGCCCTTAGTCCTTTAACTCATACACTTCTAAATTACCTAAGCATTTAGCTAGTTTTCCATATGGAATACTAAAGGTTTTTCTGTATTTTTCAATGTTAGGAAGACTATGTAGTCATCCACTACTGCTGGTTGAGAGAATAGGGCAGTAGGTCCATGCACCTAGAGAGGAAGAAATAACCACATGAGTTCAATTTGGACATAAGCATAGAGTATGAGTAGGGTGTACTTGTGTCATACCTTACCACATATAGTAGAGGGTATGAAGGGGAACTTTTTTGGCTTTTAGTTTGTGCAATAAGCATTTCTATTCTTGTCTTTTTTCCAGAAACAGAACCTTGTCCGTTTACTCAGAAACCCACACTATGGCAGCCTTATTAACGCAAATGGCCAAGCTGAAGTGTGGACAGATTGGAATGATATGTCTAAGTTTTTCCAGTATGGATGGAGATGTACCACTAATGAGAATTCCTATTCTAACCGAACTCTGATGGGTAACTGGAACCAAGAAAGATATGACCTAAGGAATATTGTGCAGCCAAAACCTTTGCCTTCCCAGGTAATCTGACTTTTGCTTCTTTTAGAAAAAGTCCTCCTGTTAGAAGAAATAGCAGTGCAGGAATCTAAGAACTTCTCAGTCTTCTGTTCAGTAATGTGACTGAGGGGCCAGTCTTCAACTGGACCATGTATCCTACTTGATTATCAAGTTGAATATTAATCAAAAGGATGGGTAAATTTTTTTTTCTTCTGTTTGGACTTTATTTGTTAATCTACAGGAAGATATAAAGTCTTGTGACTTGAACTACTTTTCCTTTGGCCCTTGCCTACCTGAACTTGTCATATATCTGAGTCTTGCACTTAACACTCTCCTGTGGGCTGGGGAGATAGCTCAGTGGTCTAAGTACCTGCCTGGCAAACACAGATCCAAGTTTGATCACCATTACCGGCCAGCCCCAGAACACCAGGCATGCTGAGCTGGCTAGTGAAACTGGGCATGGTGCCCCACGCCTGTAATCCAGTGCTGGGGAGGCTGAGACAGGAGGATTACTGCAAGTCCAAGCTGTGTAATAAGACCCTGTACTAAATAAGTATTTTTTTAAAAAAGAAAGTTTAACCAAAAAAAAAAAAAAAAAACCTGCTAAGCCAACAAATATTCAAGAATATGAAAGTAATATTTTGACTAACAACATATAAACATCTAGCCTATTTGAAACATGACAGAATTCATTAAATTTCATGTAATAGTATACTTTATTTCCTGATATTAAATGTGAACTATAGATTTCTAATCTCATCATTTTTCTTTCCAGTTTCAACACTACTTTGAAACAACATATGATTCAAGCTACAACAGCAAAATGCCACTTTCAACCCATAGTAAGTGGACTCATCTTTTTAATTGTTACATTTTCAGACTCTAACTCAATGTTTGGCACATAGAAGGAACTCAAAAGTAAACTGAATGATCCAGGCATGACATGCATGCCTGTAATCCTAGCACGCAGGAGGCTGAGGCCAGAGGATTGGCACAAGTTCAAGGTCAGCCTGGTCTACATAGTGAATTAAAGGTCAGCCTGGAATGTGTAGCAAGGCCCTGTCTCAAACAAACAACTAAGTAAATGAATAAATGATTAAGGGAACAGGTTTTTCTCAACTTTGGCAGGCTTCATATCCCCTCACATAAGAATGATGTTAGTTCTTAACACTCTTATTACTGACTCTTTTCATTTCTTTCCTTCCTCAGGATTTAAGCGAGAGCCTCACTGGTTCCCAGGACATCAACCCGAGCTGGATCCTCCTCGATACAAATGCACAGAGAAGTCAACTTATATGAACAGTTATTCAAAGCCTCAAATGAGGCATCACTTAGGCTGTGCGTGGGTTACAAACGCTGATCAATCATAGGAGCCAGGGTTCTAATAGAAAATAAGCTCCACCTTCCAGAATAGAATGTAA